AACAGTGGAGTAACAAATTGAATATGGCATAAGATTTCATGCTCAAAGACTTTCTCCTTTCCACGATTACTCCAAGTAGCCCAGAGTTGAGCCTTGGCATTGACAACAAGTTCTAGGGCTAAACCATGTTGAGTTCTGGCGCTGTACAAATTAATTAATCATGTTAGGAGCCAGGGCAGGGAACAGTCATGCCTCCTGGTACAGAGATCTCTGTATTAAAAAAGTATATATTGAAAACAGATTTCAACTATCAGTTCTGACATTACTTTACTTGATATGTTCTGCAGGGGAAAGAAACAGTGCAATGTATTGGCCAGAAAATAGCAGCAGCTGTATGTTAAGTCTGATGTGAGCTTATGATGCAAACCTAGCACAGCTTTTCTTAGCAACCTGCTTTGGTGGAATGCCAATGAAAGGAAAGCACTTTCACATGTAGCTAATGATAGACAAAAAAGGCTACTGACAAATACCTTTTCACAGTTGGCAGTTATAGCACTATGATTTGCTTTAGCTGCTATGGCTACACTATGGAATCCTGGGATTTGTAGTTTGTGTATTTAGAGGAGCTCTCTAGCTGGATATTATAAATATCCTTTCTCAAACTGCAACTTCCAAGATTTCATAGAATGGAGCCCTGGCAGTTCAAATTGAGTCATCACGCTATATGTAGTGTGAAAATGCCCCTGGCAAAAGGGATTGTAACATTTAAATCTGAATGAGAATCAGCCATTTATGTGCACAGCTGATCCACTACCCAGGAGAGGCTATAAAGGGCAAGGAATTAGTGTAAAAAGAAGGGGAGAAAGAGGAAATTAGGGCTAAATGGCCAGAGGCATTCCTGCAAAACAGGACAATGGGAAGATGGATAGCTACAAGGCTGGAAGGTTCACAGACCTAGGCCATGTGCTGACAGATATGGGATATGTGAAAGAAATGCAAGTGCTATGGAAGAAAAAGGCACACGAGACAGTGCCAGATAAATGAGGGGCAGGTTTCAAATACCCAGGAAAGTGAGTGAGATTGTGATGAACAAAAGGAGACAGCAGACAGGGTGGAGGGACAAGCTCAAGGGCCTGGGTTAAGGTAAATAGATGGCTATACTTGCCTTGAGAGCATGATGGCTATACATGCCTTGGAAGGTGCAAGTGATAGGCAACCAGTTGGCATAACAGCACACAGGCTTTTAACATGCACAAACCCTTTCATTTTGATAACATACAATCTTCCACACATTTATACTCGACAAGCAAAAAACTTCCGAGCTTTCAAATGAAGTGTTCTTTTTGATATGGAAAAGCAAGCTTGTCGAAAAGGCTTTCTGTACAGGTTATTGGGCTCTTTTTTTAAAGTACTGCTGCCATTTTATTCTGGTTATGAATTTTTCTATCAGACTGCATGTCTAGTTTTTAATGGCTTGCTTGATTGATTGGGGAGGAAGAAGAAGACAATGATGATGATGGATGCCTTATTGATGTTGGTGGATTTAGACAGCTTTATTTACTACCCTGGGTGCCACATCTCAACGGAAGTTTAGTCTGTAAAGGTTTAAACATATAAACAAACAATATGCTATTTTTTCTGTAGCTGTAATGAGTGATAACATGCTGGGTTTTGTTTCTTTCCCAATATTCAATCAAGAAGCACAACATGACAGAAACTTATTTGCTCTTATGATAGGTTTGCTTAGCTTCTACTTGGGTTTTTTTCCTACATAAAAGGATTTGCTTAATTTTGAGGTAGGTGTCAAGGCACAGATGAGCTTCTATCCTCACAAGAATGTGAAACAGAGTTCTGCACCTTAATAACCCCTATGTTCAGAAATGAAACTGCAATTTGGTTCTCCACTTGGATTAGGGGTAACGAAAGTGCAGCCTCAGGAGGCTTCTGGAGCCATTTTAATGGTCCTTAGAACAATTCATGGTCTATAATTTTTTTTAATAAAAAATACCAATAAATAATATCTTCTAAGGCAGAGTTTCTCAACCTGGAGGTCAGGACCCGGGTGGGGGGGGGGGTTGTGAGGGGGTGTCAGAGCGGCGACCAAAGACTATCAGAAAACACAGTATTTTCTGTTGGTCATGGAGGTTCTGTGTGGGAAGTTTGGTCCATTTCTATCATTGGTGGTGTTCAGAATGCTCTTTGATTGTAGGTGAGCTATAAATCCCAGAAACTACAGCTCCCAAATGTCAAGGTCTATTTTCCCCCAAAAAATCCACCAGTGTTTACATTTGGGCATATTGAGTATTTGTGCCAAGTTTGGTCCAGATCCATTATTCTTCAAGTTCACAGTGCTCTCTGGATGTAGGTGAACTACAGCTCCAAAACACAAGGTCAATGCCCATCAAACTCTTCCAGTATTTTCTGTTGGTCATGGGAGTTTTGTGTGCCAAGTTTGGTTCAATTCTATCACTGGTGTTCAGAATGCTCTTTGATTGTAAATGAACTATAAATTCCAGCAACTAAACTCCCAAATGACAAAGTAAATTCCCACTCTAACCCCACCAGTATTAAAATTTGGACATATTGGGCATTTGTGCCAAATTTGGCCCAGTGAATTAAAATACATTCAGCATATCAGATATTTACATTACGATTCATAACAACAGCAAAATTACAATTATGATGTAGCAACAAAAATAATTTTATGGTTGGGGGTCATCACGACATGAGGAACTGTATTAGGGGTCATAGCATTAGGAAGGTTGAGAAACACTATTCTAAGGGGCTCAGGGATCAACTGCGATATATTTTTGGGCCCTGGGCCATTTAGGCTCAATAAAAAGACCCTTTTTTCTAACAGAGTGCGCTGGAAGTCAAACCCAGGATATTTGTATTTTTAAAAACCAATATTTTGAATTTATTTTGCACAGGGCTATGTGTTGTGGTGTGTCTAGGCCTCCTTTTGGACCAATGCAACACAATAAGTCCTGACAGTTCTCCAGTTGCAACTGAGATACACATCCAAATGTTGATGCTCTATGTCCTCAGTGCAGATACTGTAGTGAAGTTGCTCTGGACATTCTGGTGCAATCAGTCATCCATAAGAACATGTGAAGATGGCTACACCAGAGTAAGCAAGTTCAGAAAATATTTTTTGGAATCTAAGAGATGCAAAAAACAGCTATCTCTGTAGAGTTCTAGATAGGCTATCACAGGGGTCCTCAAACTTTTTACACAGAGGGCCAGGTCACAGTCCCTCAAACTGTTGGAGGGCCGGATTATAATTTTTTAAAAAAAGAATTAATTCCTATGCACACTGCACATATCTTATTTGTGGTGCAAAACCACTTAAAAATACAATAATTAAAATGAAAAACAATTTTAACAAATATAAACTTATTAGTATTTCAATAGGAAGTGTGGGCCTGCTTTTGGCTGATGAGTAGGATTGTCGTTGTTGTTGTTGTGTGCTTTCAAGTCATTTCAGACTTAAGTTGACCCTGAGCGAGGGCCGGGTAAAAGACCTTGGAGGGCTGCATCCGGCCCCCGGGCCTTAGTTTGAGGACCCCTGGGCTATCAGGTCAGTAGATTTAAGAGTCCTCCAACATGAACTAATTCATCTGCATGAACTGTAAGCATGGCTTCCATATAAATTGTTCATGGGCAAAAGATTGCTTGCTAGTAAATGATGCATATGTCAAGGTTGTTGCACAGAGCCCATTAAACACCATGTTGGGCTGGGTGCAATCTCACACACAAAGAAGTACTTTCTAAGTACTATGAAGGTCAGCTTAGATCTGTCAAATCTGTGTTTTCCTCTCAGGGCAGGATTTGACAAAGGGTTTATGCCAAGAATGCCGATATGGAAAGAAAAGGCTAGATCACCTCCTTGACAATCTGTGGATGCAATCTTGATTCCGCTCCACTGTCTCCTTCTTCTAGATTGCTTTTTAAAAATCAGAGATGCTAAATGCAATCACATATTTAATATATTATTTGTTCCTGAAGCAATCTAGGTTATATTTAAATAGTCACGCTTTATCATTATATTAAAAAAGGAAGAAGACAACATCTTAGTTCTTGCTGTTGCAGAAATTAGGTTTGAAACAAGATACAGGTAGATTCCTTATTCATAGAATCACAGAATTGTACAGCTGGAAGATGCTGCAAAGGCCACTTGTCCAACCCCCTGCTATGGAGGAGTACACAGCCTCTGAAAGGCCCCATCCAACCTCTGTTTAAAGACCTCCAAAAAAAAAAAAGGAAATTCTACTGCACTCTGGGTAGTCCATTCCACTGTCAACTAGTTCCTACAGTCAATAGGTTCTTCTTAATGTTTAGGGGAAATCTCTTTTATTGTAATGTGCAAACATTGCCCTGTGTTGTACAAGTTTACTCAATCTTTGAGATGATGCTTTTTCAGACATTTAAAGAAGGCTATCGTGCCTCCTCTTTTTCCAAGTTATATGTATTTCCCTAAGTTGTATCTTATAAGACCCCCCCCCCCATCCTTTCTGCCATTTAGCTCAGCATTATCTATTCCAGTAGTCCTCAACCAGAGAGGCTCCAGTTGTTGATGAATTTCAAGCACCCGAATTTCCAGATTGTATGTCCCAAGGGCAAGGGTTTGGGAATCTGAAGTCCAGAAACAGCTGGACCTTCCCTGTTAGAGAACCACCATTCAGTATGTTTAGACTAGCAGAAACTTGCTCAGCTCTGCTTGAAATGTTCAGAACTAGAGAAGATTTTCTTCATTTAAAACATTTGCTTTCCACAGATAAATAGGGGGTGGTGGCTTACTCAAGATTTTTTTCCCATTTGAGATTTCCAGTTCCAGAAGAAGGGTTGCTTTTCATCTACTGTCTTCATGCAGGTGCCACACTAATCATGACAATTAAACACAACTATGAACAATAGCTGCAGCTCTCAGAGGAATGACTCTCAGAAGGTAACTGTTCTTTCTTCTGCCAGTAAAGCAATATCTTCCTTTCCTCCTAATCCACCAGTTTTATTTGGCAGGCTACTTTGTGATAATGCTGCCTCTGAGCCACTCTCCTTACCTTTGTTAGCACAAGCCATCCACTGTAGAGGAGTGACATCATAGTTATGCTGCCCAACAGAAAAAGTGAACACTCGTACCTGTGAAAAAAGAATACAGAGGGTTTCATGTTAATAAATTAAAATGTACTAGGTGCAACCCCAACAGGAGTTCACTCACACCCTCTGATTCACTGAAAATGGCTTCATTTAGAATATACAAGAAACCTTGAAAAAACACATATAGAAGATACCAGGACCTCTTGTCAGCTTGATGTTTTTCAGCGGAACCTGGATGTATTTGTTAAATATCTAACTTGTGCCCATTTGTCACACAACATGAGATACTTAATCAATGGGCAGGACGTACAACAATGAGATAGATAGCTAAGGAAAATAAAATCATGATTCATAGACATTAGAATGATGATTCCTCTGCAGGTATTAATCTGAACTTTAAAGGTGCCATCCAGTGTGTGGAATCCTGCTCCCAGTTTTAGATTCAGGACCTTGGATAGCTCCTTTAGAATAAAACCTGGAGCAAGATTCACTATCCCACTGATATTAGAGGCACCAGCTGCTGCTGTGCATATTGGCTTCTACCCTAATATGCACTGACTGTGCCACTGCTTTTCCTTCTTTTTGTTATGGCACAGCAGAAGCAGAACCCAATGTATGATGGCAACCAGCCATGTGTTTTCAAGCAGCTGTCGCAATATTCCAATAGCCATGTGGACTGGTCTTAAAATGAAGCAGCCGATCAAGTGAATACTGTTCAATTCTCATCCACTGACTCAATTATGCTGGCCATTGTTGAGTTGTGTTGTTATGCAAAAACACTTCTGCGCAGCTTCATGTCAAAGAAAGTGCCAATTTGTATGGTTGCCACAACCACGACCTAATTTCACAATGAGGAAATTCCCGTTTTCAAGCAAAATAAATTTGACAAATTGGTAACAAAAGCAGCAACAATGTGAGATGGCCAAACAGCACTTCTGAATCAAAAATGGTTTGAATCTATGTTTAATGACTTGGTATTTCAAAAATAGAGGGTGCTCAAATGAGAACCTGGAAGCAGCAACACGATACAGGAGGAAGGAAGGAAAGAAAGAGACGCTTTTCCAAGGCCTTCCTCTACCTTCAGTGATTTGTTTCCCCCCAACTTGGAAAGGGAAACTGCAGAGGAAAGCATCTGACTTAATTTTCTCTCTTGTCTCCACCCATTTCTCTTATTTTGGGAAGGTGCACTGGGAGAGGAACGTCTTTTACCTTCTCTCAGTTTTCCTTATTCATTAACATCGACAGGTTTGGGAGTTTTTATTCATTAGTTATTAACTAAAATATTTATGTCATGAGAATAATCAGTTTCAACCATTTTAAGAGCCATTAAAATTTTAAGTCAGCAAAACAATGCATAATAAACAATGTATAGCACATTCAAACACCTTAAAACCATGTACATATGTAGATTTGAATATCAGACCAAAACGGCTTTACAAACAAGCCACTTTTAAACCTGACTCTGGAAATTTAAATCTGATGCTAGTGGCACCAACTGAGTCTCCATTGAAAGGACACTGCATAATAAAGGTGACATTACATAAACGTGTTATGCAGTGAATTCCAGTAATGTGAAATCCAGTTCATTCATCCCAATAAAACAACTTTAAAATGTGTTGGATTAATATAACCCGTACTTCTAGTATGTATGAATTATCATCAGCTCTAGTCACACATTTGAAAGGTGCCAGGATGGGGAAAGATGTCTGAGAAACATATATTGGGCTTTGCAGCCTGACCTATCCTAAATCTCCAATGAAACATAGAACCATGGTTGTTCTGGGGAGGGCTTGGTTAGATGAACTGTTTGCTGTGATGATTTTAATTGTTTCTCAGCTTTATTGTGAAAGTTTCTAAATTGACTCTCTCTTGAAGCTGCTTTATGCCCCTATCTGGGAGAAAGACAGCATACAAATCAATTTAAATAAACAGCAAATAAATCAAAACTGGGACTTTTTCATTAGTCTAGATCAGTCATGGGCAAACTTTTTTGCCTTGGGGTAGCATTGCAGGCTTGGGCATGAGGGCTAGGCCAGGAGAGAGGGAGGGTGGTGGGCCCAGGTCATTCTCAGGTTGTCCTCCCAGCACACTGGATGTGGAGGACCTGGGCCTGCGACAGGGTGGGGCCAGGAGGTCGCAGGGCAGGGCCAGGGTCATGCCCTCTCAGCATAAGGATGGGGCTACTTGCTCCTCCTCCCCATCCTTCTTCCCCAATCCTTGGGCTGTCCTATTGGTATTATGCCGGAAGGAGGGTGAGACTGGGGGTGGCTGAGAGTGCTCTGGAGGGCTGTCAGCTGCTGCGTGCCTTCCTCCCCCATCTTTTTGGCATAAGGACATGGTGGGCTGCTGTGTCCTTCTGCAAGAGGACAGGGAAAATGAGGAGGACCTTGAGTGAGCACCCAGAAGGGTGCATCCGCCTCCCGGGCCTTGGTTAGCCCATGCCTGGTGTAGATGTATCTTAAACTTCTGTTGCTTGAACTGATTATGGCAGTGGAAAATACTGTTCTTGCTCTTGCCATGAGATAATGTGGGCAAATCAAATCAAATCCCATCCCATCCCTCCACAAAGAGAACAGGTTGACAGGAAGCCCATGTATATCTTGTATTGATTATCTTAGAAGAATTTAATTCTTTATCTGTTAGAAAACTGGACTCTCTAAGAACACGGTAAAGAGGGAACACATTGAACTCCTTCCCACACTTCTTAGTAAAGGTTGCTCCCAATTGAAAACAATCTCTTCTTACTCCCAGCCATAATGTTATGTTTTGATGTTTTGGGTTCAGAAAAATGATACAAACATAGAAAGTCTATTTTCAGTGCCTAAGGAATCATTCTAAAGATGCAGTTGCTTTTTGGCAACTGCACTCTTCCTGAGTAACAGAAGGATTGTTATGAAATGCTAACAACAGTAGCAAGACATCCATGAGCCACAAAGTGTTATTCCCTCCTCCCTTTGCACTTCAGCTCCCTGTACTATTCTAGTTCCAAGTAGAAGTGAAAGGAAAGCTTCAGTGCAGTATCCCACTTCTTTCTTGAGTCTCTAATCTTGTTTAATAAGAGCAGGCACTGCAGAAGATGTCAGAGGGTCGCACCCATCTCTTTCCCCACTTGTACAAAAAGAAGGAGAGAGGAGATAAGTGTGGAGGGTGGCGGAAAGGTAGCCTATTTTGATCTTGAGACACTTAAGTACTTCCACCCAGTGAGCTGACATTTCTATATGCTCTTAATTCTGATGGAATCTCTTCGAAAGCAAGCAGCGTTGAGAAAGGCAAGCATTTCCCCATAGCAACAGATTGTGCAAAGTTTCAAAGGAAGTTCTTGTCTACCTTCTTTCCTGGCACTTCAAGGTCGGTGCAGGTAATAAAACTAGTGCTGGAGTGTGAGACGCCCCATTAAAGGGGCAGTGGCTCAGTGCGGGAGCAGACAGGCAGGAAGATCAACTGTCTAAATAGCTCACATCAAATGAGGCGGAATCTAGCAATAAAGCAGGAGTTAGCCACTTCCCACCATGCCTGCGACTGAGCTGAGGCAGGTCACACAGCTGGTCACATTCGGCCATGTTTCCTGATTCATTTATAATATTCCACATATAATGATCTAGGCATAGTTCTGCTGTTTTATCTCTTTTATGGATTCGGGTACAGGCTCAAGATGAAAAACCTCATCATGGTTTTTCACTCAGATGAACAATAAAATTCCCTTTATGATGTCATCTGCCTTTTGGACATAGATCCACAATGTATGTTTTTAAAAGTTCTGTGTTATTTGTATGTAATTGTATGTATAGAAAATATGGTGTGATGCTTTAGATTAGGATTGGGGTTTGAATCCCAGCTAGGAATCCACTGGCTGACTATGGAGAAGTCATGTTCATTCAGCCTCAATTGACAGCAATGGCAAAGCTTTTCTAAATAAATATTGCTGGGTAAACCCTAGGATAAGTTCTGCCTATGGTAGAGACGGGGGCACCTCATGGTGCAGTGGGTTAAATCACTGAACTGCTGAACTTGCTGACCAAAAGGTTGGCAATTCGAATCTGGGAAGTGGGGTGAGCTCCCGCTGTTAGACCCAGCTTCTGTAACCTAGCAGTTCGAAAAGATCCATATGTGAGTAGATCAATAGGCACTGCTCCAATGGGAAGGTAACGGTGCTCCATGCAGTCATGTTGGCCACATGACCTTGGAGATGACTATGGACAACATCGGCTCTTCAGCTTAGAAATGAAGATAAGCACCATCCCCCCCCTCCCCCCAGTTGCACAAACTAGACTTAATGTCAGGGAAACTTTTACCTTTATCTTTACAGTATAGGCATATGAATTGGAGGCACTTGAAAGCATTTAACATCAACACAGAGCCATTTTATGTTGCATAGGCCTCTCTGACTCTCTGAGGCAAGGTTACAGGCTGAGGAATCATCTACACTGTAGAATTAATGTAGATCGATAGCACTTTAGCAGCAATGGCTCAATGCTATAGAATCCTGGGATTTGTAGTTTGATGAGACACCAGCACTCTTTGGCAGGGAAGACTAAAGACCTTGCAAAACTACAATCCATAAAATTGACCCATGCCGGTTAGAGTGATGACAGACTGCACTAATTTTGCAGTGTAGATGCACTCAGAGAAATAAATGTTGATGCATAATATATATGGGGGGGGGGGGGGCAGTTGTGAAACATCTGGCAGACAGTGGGAGACTTGTGGATTGCACCTAATTCCCATTACCAGCTTCTATCCAGAATGGAAATTACCAGTTCAGCTATCTTTGTCAAATCCGGAATGCAACTAAATGACTTCGTGTTGGTTAAAAATAAAACTGTGACTCATGGTGACGTCCTTAGCTAAACTGGCAGCCAAGCGTTCCTTTCTTATAAAAGAGCATGGTGCCTCCTTCCTGCCTTGTAAGCAGCTGCATGGGGCCATTTTGTAATTAACGTATCAGATGCTGTGGAGAAGAGACCTGTTTTGTTTTTTCACTGCCAGAGGGAGAAAAACACTTATCTGTAATGGTATGGTAATTTTGCTCATAACGAACAAGTTACAGTGGCCCAAATCAATACCATTTCTGGCTAAGAGTTGGGTCATACATCTTGGCACAGAAATGCTTTACATTTTTGGCTAAGAAAAATGCTATTTTTGCATTTATTTTTACAAGCCTTCACCTCTGTTCTGATTTTAAGTACTTTTTGTTCTTGCTTAAATTATGCATGCCATTTTATATTCAGAGGCTCCTGAAAAGCATAAAAAGCCCTGTTGGTTTACACCATAAGCCCATTTAATCTATCATTTTGTTCACATGTGGTCAGCCAGTTAGCTGCCTATGAAAAGCCCACAGGCAGGACATAAGTGCAAAAGCATTTTGCCCAACTACTGATATTGAGAATCATTCTGCTTTTGATATTGAGGAGACTATATAGCCATCATAAGTGGCAACCACTGGTAAGCCTATACTCCATGAATGTGTCCAATGTCTTCTTAGAATTGTCCAAATTGGCAGTCAAAATTACACCCTGTGGTAGCAACAAATGAACAAAGCCTTGAAAGAATGTATTGTTGAAGGCTTTCATGGCTGGAATCACTGGGTTGTTGTAGGTTTTTCGGGCTATATGGCCATGTTCTAGAAGCATTCTCTCCTGATGTTTTGCCTGCATCTATGGCAAGCATTCTCAGAGGTTGTGAGGTCCTCACAACTTCTGAGGATGCTTGCCATAGATGCAGGCAAAACATCAGGAGAGAATGCTTCTAGAACATGGCCATATAGCCTGAAAAACCTACAACAACCCTTGAAAGAATATCAGTTCTCCACTAGTATGAGAATGAGCTGGTGCTAAGTTGTCAACACTACAAGAAAGCAGTCAGAAAACTGCAGGCTTGTTTTTAGGATACAAGATGAACACTCACTGTCTTGTTGGGCCAGTTATACTTCTCAAACACATCTTGAACCCGATCTTCTCCTCCATCGGTGAACATCATGATCATCTTGTTGCAATTGGCTCTGCTGATGTTGGACTGCAAAAAAGAAGCAACATTTATTGTTGTTGTTAATGTGCCTTCAAGTCAATTCCAACTTATGGTGACCTCATCATCAGGTTTTCTAGACAAGATTTATTCAGAGGAGGTTTATCATTGCCTCACTGTAAGAGTGAGAGTATGTGACTCCTCCATGGCCATCTAATGGATATTCATAGCAGAGTAAAATTTGAACACTGGTTTTCAAAGTCATAGTTCAAATCTGAAATCACTGCACCAAACTGGCTCTGATACACTTATTACCCTTTGGTTAAAATAAAGCTTGAATAGTCAAGATCAAAATTGTGACTATATTGTTAAGAGGAATTATCTGTCTGTAAGTGATATTTAAAAGAAGAGTGTATGACTATATGTGCATTGGAAAGAGAATGACTTGAATGAAATAAATAAAGAGCAACACCCAGAAAAGCAGGGGAAATTCCAGACAAAACTCAATCAGGGCCAGCTAGCACCTGGCAACAAAGGATTCCTCGGGCAGCAACCAACCAGACTTTGAAGCTGCGAGGCCATTAAATGCTAATAAAGGTGGCCAACTGCAATATTGACACTTACCTCAAGCAGACAAGAGTTCTTTCTCTCACCCTGGACATTCCACAGATATATAAACCCCACTTGCCTAGTTTCCAACAGACTTCACAACCTTTGTTGATGCCTGCCATTGATGTGGGTGAAATGTCAGGAGAGGATGCTTCTGGAACATGGCCATACAGCCCAGAAAACTCACACCTACCCTGAATGAATTTTATTTGAGACTAGAGTGGGCCCTTCGGATCTGTGGAATCCGGATCTGAGATTTCTAGTGACCAGAGATTGTTGTTCCCCATATTAGTAAATGGAGCTGATGTGAATATGGACATACTAATGCTTAAAAATGAACATCTCTGCCATTGAATAATACAGGGCATGACCATCCATACTTATATGTATCTATGATGGGACCTGTAGCTAAACCCTTGCAAATATTGCAGGCCCACTGTACTGTGGAGCATTACTTTTTCCTGTTTGCAGCAAGAAAAAAATAAGAGTGGGGAAACTAGTGTACACAGATTAGTTTATGTCACAAATTTATGGAGGGGAGCCACATCCTGTTGTATGCTTTCCAACATTGATATATGCATTTATCACACTTTGTCAGAGAATATGTTATACACATACTTCTATAGGTAAATCTCCCAGCCTCCTAACTCCTTGGAATGTCAGAGCTGCTGAAGAGCCTATTAGGTTGCAAATCTGTAAGGAAATAATGGCGGGAATGTATGTATGTGTGTGTGTGTGTGTGTAGGAATGAACCAGAGAATACTTCTTTACTGATAAGTGAGAACAGCAAAAGATGGACATGCATTTCTACACACGTATTATGTATATGAGTATGTGGAAATTAGTCATCCCTAGAGCTAGTTTCCTCATGTCCCCCTCCCATTGACTTCAGTCCAAGAAAGTGGCAGTGAAGAATCTGTTTTCTTTAGCTGCTTCTCCAGGGGTGAAGGTGGTACAGATGAACAGGGAGAAGGAGGGGCTGTCGGGACGGAAATTATGTTGTGGCTATTACCGCTCAGCGATTAATAGGGCTATTCATCTTTATTTTGTCCAACGTCACTGTAGACTGTCTGATCCGAGTCCTTTCAGATGGGCCCTGCTAACTTTGTAATGAAATGGAAGAGGCAGCTGCTTCCACTAAAACTTAAGTATCAGCTGCTGAAGCTTTTCATGTATCCAGGGAGGGATGTGGAGAACCCATGCCCTATCTGTTCATTTATTATCAAGGGCCACACATTGTTACGAGAATAATGCAGATGATCCCGGCCTCGTGTACTACGGTACTTGCGTCAGTGGGACAAACAGTCCTGGGAAAATAACACAATAACAGACGTTTTCGGGAAGTGATTAACCTGCAGCTGTCATACTTGAGGCATATCCTGAGATGACACAACCCATTAGAAAATGTGGTAAGTGGCAATAGGAAAGGAGTATTACTTACTTAGGCGATCCCTCGCTTTCCGAGGATGATTGTCTTCCAATATTCTTGTGGGTCCGTATGTGGCTGTGGAGCCCTATTCTTGCTCTGCATCTTCTTCCTCAGTGAGGGCATTGGTTTCCAGGTGGAAGGCGGTCTCGGGGGTTGGCTTGATGCACCTTCCTCTTGGCACGTTTCTCTCTTTCACCCTCCATTCGTGCCTCTTCAAATTCTGCAGCACTGCTGGTCACAGCTGACCTCCAGCTGGAGCGTTCAAGGGCCAGGGCTTCCCAGTTCTCAGTGTCTATGCCAGAGTTTTTAAGGTTGGCTTTGAGCCCATCTTTAAATCTCTTTTCCTGTCCTAAAACATTCCGTCTTCCATTCTTGAGTTGGAGTAGAGCAACTGCTTTGGGAGACGGTGGTCGGGCATCCAGACAACGTGGCTGGTCCAGCGGAGTTGATGGCGAGGACCATCGCTTCAATGCTGGTGGTCTTTGCTTCTTCCAGCACGCTGACGTTTGTCCGCTTGTCTTCCCAAGAGATTTGCAGGATTTTCCGGAGGCAGCGCTGATGGAATCGTTCCAGGAGTTGCATGTGACGTCTGTAGACAGTCCACGTCTCACAGGCATAGAGCAGGTTGGGAGGACAATAGCTCTATAAACAAGCACCTTGGTATCCCTACGGATGTGCTGGTCCTCAAACACTCTCTGCTTCATTCGGAAAAATGCTGCGCTTGCAGAGCTCAGGCGGTGTTGTATTTCGGCGTCGATGTTGACTTTGGTGGAGAGGTGGCTGCCAAGGTAGCGGAAATGATCAACATTTTCTTATGTTACACCATTAAGCTGTATCACTGGCATTGGAAGGTGTATTTGAGTCAATCAGGGAAGTCACAACCCTGATTTTGGAAGACTTGAGCAGGGCAGGGGATTACTGGAGTTTTCTCATTCATAGGATTGCCATATGTCAAAGTTGACTTGACATCAAACAACAGCAATATATATTTCCATAGATGGCATGATCATGATAGAAGGCAGAACAAAAGTTATGTGGTGAGACTAGAGTGCACAATTATGGTGAGGAGACTCAGATTCAAATTGCCGCACAACTCAGAAGCTTACATTGCATGGCTTACCTATATTTAAAGAAACATATGATTTTCCTAACCCACACATCTTGCATTTAATGTGCTTTCTTTTCTGATTGAAAAATAAAAAAAAGGATTTAAATTGCTTTATGGTCAAGGTACCTTGCCTCTGAGAAAATCTCATTGTGAGAGTAAAATGTGTTAATCACAGAGAGAACACAACCCTTAATGGCTAATATGACCCTCACTGGGTTCCTTTCAATCACTTATGATTTCTTAAGTGACCCATATCACAAGATTGGTCATGAAGGTACAACAGAATGGGGTAGAACCCTATAAGACAACTTATAAATGAATGTATAAGGTGTTTATAAGGATTTGACAGCCTTCAGATCTCAGAAATGATCTTTGTTAGCTTCATGGGCTAGGAAGTTTTTTTTGGAAAAAGGTTTTATGGGGAACTTTGTAATCTCTGATTAGACATCTTGAAATTTGGGGAGCCTGGGTAGTGAGATCAGAGTAGAATCCAGTTGCATTTAATACCATGTTGTGCAGAATCTTTTTATTTCTGATGCCCTTCCTTGTTATCATTCCGGAGGAAAGTGAAGACCTGGTTGTTCGAGCAGGTATTTGAATAGGCATCTTAAAGAATATAGGAATATGGAACATTGGATGATAAAACTGGATCTTGATTCTAATTATGAGACGCCAAAGAGATGCTTATTGATGTATAATTGATTGATTAATATGCAATTGTTTTAATTGTTTTTAACTGTTTTATGTTGTTCTGAGCATTGAATTTTGCTATTGTTAACCATTTTCTTGCCTGAGGGCTGAGAAAAGTGGTATACAAATATGGCAAATAAATAAATAAATAAATAAATAAATAAGGAAAACAACATGCAACAATCTGGTGTGCAATAGCCCTGTATATATTCAAAAGGTGCTCCTCCTTTGTGATGTCGATTTGGTATTTTGAATGCCTCTTGTCCCTTTCAAACTGATCAGAGCCAATCTTTTGATAGGCTTGGATCTGGGGAAGAATTCCTATTATGACTTGCCTTTGAAGGCAGAAACAGGTGAAAAGAAGAAAAATAGAGCAGTGGCTGAGAAGCTGAGAAAGTGAGTATGACCAGAAAAACAAAGCAAAGCAAGGGCATTGCAGTTGCCATAATACATTTGTCTAGCTAATGAAAATAGTCTGTGCTTGCTAAAATAGCTCACTATTGTTGCTGAAGAAAGATATTATTGACACATGTTTGGTAAAAGCAAAGAAGGAAATACTGTGGGATAAACCAGAAGTTGAACCCACAGCCTTCAGACAACATTGAAAACAGCCGAGACAGGAACTCACTCCACTCCCCGCATTTGACCCACCAACCTGTCGGTTAGCAGTCCTGCCAGCACAAGGGTTTAACCCATTGTGCCACCGGGTGCTCCATGTAATGAGCTAAACAATAATATGGGATCAGGGCTGTGAGAAAATGAGACATAGCCACCATCCCCAAATGCCAGGAGGTTTCTCTGATTCTCAGACATCTTGAGACCAAGCTGCTTATATTGTCAGATATATTTAGATGTATTTGCAACATATCCACTTCCTCCAAAGCAGCTCCTTCAGGAGTGGAGCCATTTGTGTTATGTCTGTAGAGTGAGAAGTGGGATTTCCTACCCATTGTATTTCCCACAGGGAAAAACACCAAGACATTGGAGACAGATTGATACATCTCTGGCATAATTTAAGGCTTTGCTCCTGTTTCCATATGCCCACATTCTCCTGTGGGCAACCTATTTGATTTTCAGATTCCCTCTCCTTTTAGGGTGCATCGACATAGTGTAGGATTATTGCAGTTTGCCACCACTTTAACTGTCATGGCTCAATTCCATTGAATCATGGGAGTCTTAGTTTGGTGAGGTAACAGGACTCATCCTAAAGCTCCCATGGGCCACAGCAATTAAAATGGTGTTGAACTGGATTGATTTTAAAGTATAGATCAGTGGTTCTCAACCTGTGGTCCACAGACCATCAATGTTCTGCAAGAATGAAAATATGGTCTGCGGCCTCATCATTACCACACCATTGCCTCAAAACCACATGGCAACAAGAGCAACTGGTCTCATGAAACCCTCTTACAGTGCCAAGGTAATGGGGATGTTGGGAGGGGAGAGAGGCTGACTACGCATACAAGATCAACTCTAGATTATTAAATATGATTTTCTGTGGGTGAGCAGATGATGACTACTGGGTGGCATATGTTCTGTATCAGAAAGTAAAGCTAGTGTGGTCTTTCCAATGCAATTTTCTGAATCAGCATCCCAAATAACCAAAACAAAATTAAAATTGACCAAAAACTGATTTGTAACCCTTTTGATACTAATTTTGGAAAGTGGTCCCTGGTCAAAGTGGTTCCTGGTCAAGTGGTCTCTGGTCAAAAAAAGGTTGGAATCACTGGTATAGATGCTCCCTAAGTTCCCTTCCAGGCTTTAGACTGAATGCTTACATTTTGCAGCTGTTCAAAGGCATACTCAAAGCCTGCCTTGTAGTCTGTGGTTCCCCGAGCCTCCATTACTTCCACCTTCTCTTTGAAGACCTTCTTGTTGCGGATATTTGCCTGGACTAAATGATTGAAGCAGGATACAGCCTGGGCCTTTTGGTTAAACTGGAAAGCAGAAAACAGAGAATTGAAAATGCATTAGGATGGGCAAAAAGAGGCAATGGAAAAGTCATGAACTTTATCTGCTCCCAAGCTAGACCCATCAAATTATGAAATTATCTGGTGGAAGAGATTTGACAGCTGTCTTGAGTTTAAAAGAACATTAAAGACTAAGATCTTCCGGCTGGCCTGTCCAGATGGTTTTTGTTATAAGATTTAAAATTATGAATTGTTTTCTTAAATGTGTATGCTTTTTAAGTGATGTTATGCTCTTTAAAATGATTTTGTATTTTCAATTACTGATCATTTTTTAATACTATGTTATGTATCTATTTGTTGCTTATTTTAATCAGTTGTTATCTGCCACAGAGAGAGGTTTGAAACAACAACAACAACAACAACAGAGGCACAACTCTGTGGCCCAAATGATACATTGGAACTTATGTCACAAGCACCACCTGCCAGTAGTAAAGAACTGGTGGGATCATAAACCTGCAAAGGTCGTGGAAAATGAACATGCAAAAATACTGTGGGACCTTTGAATTCAGACTGACAAAGTTTTGGAACACAATACACCAGACCTCACGATTGTGGAAAAGAAAAAAGTTTGGATTATTGATTTTGCCATACCAGGTGACAGTCAAATAGACAAAAAACAACAGGAAAAACTCAGCCATTATCAGGACCTCAAAATTGAACTCCAAAGGCTCTGGCATAAACCAGTACAGGTGATCCCAGTGGTAATCAGCAGACTGGGTGCCATGCAAAAGATCTCAGCTGGCATTTGCAAACAATAAACATTCATAAAATCATGATCTGTCAACTACAAAACCCCATCTTACTTGGATCTGTGCGCATCATTCCAAAATACATCACACAGTCTTAAACGCTTGGGAAGTGTTTGACTTGTGATTTTGTGATACAAAATTCAGCACATATATCTCATTTGCTATGTCATACTGTGTTTTAGTGTCAGAATAATAATAATAATAATAATAATAATAATAATAATAATAATAATATAATTTATTAATTTAAAATATTTATGCTTTTCTTTCTTTCTGGGTCTAAAATACAGCTCAGTGGCAAAGGGTAAAATGCATATATTTATTATTATTGTCAATTGTTTTAATTAAAATTTTATCCCAAATCAATTTCACTTTAGTTCCAAAATTAATATTGAAAGTTTTATTTTTTTATTGTTTTCAATTGTCTGTTAGCCACTTTGAGTGAAAAGGCAGGATTAAAATTGTAATAATGAAATAGTAACTGGAATAGTAAGGCACCAAACATTTTGTACGATATTCAAAGCTAAGACTTTCTTAACCCGCTGAGCAAACTCAGGTCTCCATTTATATGTTGTAGCTTTTGAATCAGCCACTGAATATTTCCAAACTGAAAAGATGAATGCAGATGTACTGACCCAGGTTCAGTTGGGAAAGCAGTTAGCCTGGAAGAAGGAACATATTTGTGAATGTAGCAAAGAGCACCTGGCTCTTTGTGTAAATATTCTAGTAGAAATGAGATGCCATAGACAACTGCTTCTTAGTATGATGAGGATGTGTATTTTGTATTATTTACACACACATAATTAAAAGTTTCCAAAATATACATAAAAGAAAAAGAAAAGGGAAAAAATAGAGAAGATGGGGGGAAAGTACAGCGAAATGGAAAAAAAGGGGAAAGATTACGACTCCCAACTTTCTTTATGGCTATGAATTTTAATATATGAAATTGTACTTTGCCAGCTAACAAAGAAATACTTCATACACATTTTATAGCAATTCAAACCTACTGGTTATTATAATTTATTGTTATCATATTACGTTCTTCATTCTCCAAAGAGAGAGTCAAGGGGTTTCTGTGCTTTAAAAATGTCACCAATTTTTTTTCTAACCAAATCAGATAATTTATCTTTTCCAATGAAATCATTCAGTTTTAACAGCCAATCTCCTTTTGTTGTAATTAATGCGCTCTTCCATTTTTGTGCATATACCAATCTTGCTGGAGTGGTAATATATCATGGTAATCTTCCATATTTCCTCCCATTTGCCCATCCATCAATTCTAATAAAAACAGTCCAGGTTTAAATTGATTATTAACCTTCAAAATATTCCGTATTAAAATATGTATTTGAGAACAAAACCCCTTCCAATCTTGCCATCTACTTGTTATCTTGCTGTTCATCTAAGGACATAGGATGGCACTTATGGGCCTTTCCAATATTTTCACAAATACCCTGTCAGGAAGTGTAGGCTGAGAGGTGCTGCCTGGCTCAAAATCATCCAGTAATTTTAATCACGGAATAGGTATTTGAATCTAATGTCCCTTACATCTCGCTGGGGTAAGCAGGCTTTCAAAAACTAACACAGTCGAATAATGTGCAATTGACTATGGAATTGCCTTAGATTCTGATCCATGGATGGTGTGTCTCTAACATTAGAATGTACTTTATTATGTTTAATTTGTATTAATTTTAATTCAATTTATTTTAAGTCAATATTGTATGCTTTAAAGTACTATGTTAGTGCCACTTGTAAGCTGCCTTGAGTCCCCCTTGGAGTAGAGAAAAGAGGGATATAAATAAGGTAAATAAATATAATTTAGAACATCTCTTCATTTCAATACAGCTCTGAGAATGCCAGTGAATAGAGATTCAGGAAGCTGTAAACCTTGAGAATAACATTTCCTAGCTCTGGATGTAAACATGAGTTTTGAGTCCTCATAAATCAAATACTTTTAAGCTTTATTGTCTTTATATTTGAATTGTTTAACTGATATGTCATCAGCCCACTTTGGTTGGGACTGAATGTTTACTTTTAAGCTTTTTAATTGTTTTTATATTTGAATTGTTCAATTGATATTCTTTGATTATTCCTGTATGTTTAAATTGATATGCTAATTGTTTAAACTGATATGTCATGTTTATTATTATATGTGTAATGCAGCATTGTATGCCATGGTCTGTAAGCTGCCCTGAGTCCCCCATTGGGGTGAGAAGGGTGGGGTATAAATGTAGCATAACAACAACAACAACAACAACAACAACAACATGGTCTCTGATGAAGGTATCTATGATCCTCCTATGCTTGCCATTCATTATCTCAAACCAGCAAGACAAGCAAGCGGGGGAAACAGCACAGATTGGATCACAGGGTACCAAGACAGGTAGGGACACAGATGACTGAAACAATCAAACTTCTCATTCTTTTTGCTGAAGGTCTTTGCTACTGAGAAGGCCAAAATTTGTATCCAGGATTCTGTGGGAGTAAACGGTGGAAGAATTTGTTGGCGTTAATGGAGTGATAAGACCCCCATCCTCCTGAATCCTGTCTGAGCAGGACGGATTTGTGGAGAGCATTGCTGTGATTACTTATATACCTCCAGGCATGTTTTCTGCAGGACGTTTCAGCGCCTTATCACAAGGTTACAGGCCCAGCTTACTGGGCATCCTGAGCTAAGTTGTTAGGAGAGGACTGACTTTTCCTTCTGACCAGGTGGGTGAAGTGAAAGAGCACTCATATGCTGGAAATATGGAACATTATTTAGGAGGCAGTGATCCACTAAAAGTAATGAGACTAGACGTGTTAATTAGTTCAAACATGTTTCTTCCTAGACATCAGCCACATGAGAAAGAGAATGGCAGAGTTCTCCATTTTTTTTCTTTTTTTAAAAAAGAAATAGTCTATGTATTTTTGACATCTTCCTAAGGATTGGGTTGCTGTGAGTTTTCCGGGCTGTATGGCCATGTTCCAGAAGCATCCTCTCCTGACGTTTCACCCACATCTTTGGCAGGCATCCTCGGAGGTTGTGAGGTCATGGAATTTGGATGAAATGCATTTTCCATTTCATGCTCTTCACCCTCTTGTCTCTGGTCTCCTTTCTTTACTATCTAAATATTGCCAGGTACAGATTTCACCTGCTTGTTTAAAGCCCAGCACACTTCTGGCCCAGAGCTCAGATTAGCCAATCAATAAGAGTGACAGCACTGATCTTGGAAAGACTCATCCCTGGATCCTCCTGAGTGTGCTGAGGTGAAAAGGTAAGGAGCTATACACTTGCCATCACCACCCAGCAGCTGTCACCAGTTTTACAAATCAGTGTTAAGACTGGGAGAATAACCTCCCATGCCGCACCCAAACAGTTATCTAGATATCTGACTAGTCAAAACACCACTGCTGGGCTAAGAATGACATACTTCTTTCCCTCAGCAATAGGTATACCTATCATATATCAGTCAACATAGAAATACATTTTCAAAGAAAGCTCTTCATCTTGCAGGATTAATACAGATGGCCATTGGAAATACTTGGTGCTGTCTGTGTACATACTTGACTTGCAGATGTCTTCTACTTTGCAAGGTCCCTTGAAAACGTGCAAAGATTGACTGTATTTTTTAAAATAGCACAGAATGCAATATATCACCCAATATTTTAGGATTGCTTCACACCTCAGAGAAAGAGATTTCCACCATGTGCCAGCTATTTCTTTTGTCTGAAGGGGAAAAGGGCCTCCTGGCATATTTTGAAAGGCTCTCTGGTATCCCCCACAGTTCAGGTTAGATTCCAGCAATGCATTATCTGTGAGGCTGCCTATGAAACACACCTGGAAATTTTAATTGGACTAAAGTATGGTTGCCAAGATATTAACTGGAACCCTCTGTATTGGCCATATGTCATCCATGGAAAATGATGTTTGTAGCCTTCTGGTTTAGTTCTATATATAATTAAAAATGATGATTATAGTTAAGGTTTTCACCCATAAAAAGCCCAAATGATCTGGATACAGTCTGAAGGGTTTGGCAGCTTCTATGTGACCTTGCCCATAAAGTATGGCTGTCAGTTGGGGCCCTCTACTAAATGTCTTCAGAAATGAGGGCAAACCTTTTCTATTATGAGGTCTTTTCAGTTGGCTCAGCTAAATTGCTATAATTCCACTTTAGTTGCTCTGGCTCCATCCTATGGTGCCCTGGCACTTGTGGTTTAATGAGAGGTATGTACAAGTCT